CAACTTTGTTGGTCATTTTGGCAAATCTAAAAGAAGTTGGTTAAAATCGTATATTATAAGACATTTTTAGTCACTAAGACGATTTTGTCTTATACAAATTAGTTAAGATTATATGTACCACACGTAAAACAAAAGTATTTTTGGGGCATCTGTTTTGTGTGCGGTTGGTTACAGGTGCAATTCGATGTCTGCTTAAAAGTCAACTTTCATCTCAGCCTACGTTAAATTGTTGTTTAAAACAGGAATTAAGCAAAAAATAAATCTCTGGATAAGACACAACAAATACAAGTGGGAATTGAGTATATCATTTTTGTTTTACTATATTTCAAAAATATTTCATAATTTAAACTAAGATAAAATACACGTTTAATACTTTAACTATATTTTTATCCTATTTTGATATTCGTCATCGTTAATTTTTAGTGGTAATATATCAAATTAGAATATAAACTAAACACTTGGTGTAATTTAAAAAAATAGTTATGAAAACAAAATAAAAATAATAATTTAAATACTAAATGCTAAATCAACGGTTCTCCATTTATATCAATTAAAATAAAGGGTAAATTATACGTTTAATACATAAACTATTATTTTTGTTTCGTTTTGATAGTCAATTTTTTAAATTATACCTAATATTTAGTTTAGATTTCATTTTAGTATTTTACCATTAAAATTTAATTGAACTATTATACATGATATTTTTATGGAAAAATCACACCATTAATCGTTCAAGTATCTTCTCACTTAATCACAAAATTTTAATAATTTTTAATTTAATTACTCAACTTTCAAATTGTTCATGTTTTAATAACTATAATTTATTTTATTAATATTTTGGTGACATGCTATTTTTCATTATTATTTTATTAATATATAATTAACATAAAAAATATATTTAAAATTATGCAATAAGTATATGCTACAGCCGATAGCTCATATTTATATCATTATCATTAGTATTATTATCATCTTCGTACAATATATAGACGGCCGTGACGGTATATATTGTGAAATATTGATGGCGTTTTTGAACGGTGCAGCGTCTCCATTTCCTCGTATTGATGTGAGGGAAAAAAATAATATGAAAGATTATTGAGGGAAATGATAACGTGATATAGTCTTAGTATACGATAAAAAAATACTGTTATTTTTATTATTATTTTTAATAAAATAGATAAAAATTATCAAAAATTATTATTTCTCTCAGTTTTGTTATTATTGAACATTTTACTGGAAATGTTAACAATATTATTTTAAGTAAAAATAATAATATAATAATAACGTCTTTCCTTAATTGTATATTAAATGAGGAACTTCACACCATTGAGTTCTCTAAGAAGTGGCTTACGTCATGCATAACGCGTGAATTAAAGAGAAAAAGTGAAAGCAAGGATAAGCATTAACATGAGAACTTGGAGAGGACAATCCTGAAATGAGGCAGCCATTATTCTGAATGTGTTTACATGGCTACTTTGAAATTAGCAGTGCGGATTTGCTTCAACTTCCATGTTCCCATTTCTATTTTGAATGCATATTTTATTTCTGGTTGAATTGTATGAAATATTCACTCCAATGATCCAGCTATATCAATCAGTGACAACTCGATCCACCACTAGCAACAGATCGGGTCGTTTTTTTGGCCAACCCGATCCCAGTGTAAGAAAATATCATCCAATCCAAAATCTGAACAATGACATCAATGTATAAAAAAGACAGTCACATCAAAAGTAAGGAGCTTTTAAATACAGATGATAAACAATGACTTTCTGTGAGTTGAATTTTGTTTTTTGAGTTCTCCTGATCAAAGATTAAGAGTCTTCAAATTAACAACAAAAACAAAGTCATACATACATAATCAAGCAGATAATTTTCTTGACATATTCTTTGATCACATGGTAGGTATTAAGAGAGAAACTTGTTCCATAAGTTCACAGGCATTGATCTAAGCAAACTTTTATTGACCCAAATAAATAAATCAGAACAATAACTTACAGTATGCAAGTTGCAGCAGTCAGTGGACTTGGCAAATTACTTGATTTATAAAATGGCTACCACCAATTTTCAAGGTACGCAACCTTAAATACATTAACTGTTGATAATATATTACGGTGCATCATCATCATAACTTGTAGCAATTACTACGAACCAGTGTACATGCGTTACTATTGATGTAACGAGAGGACAAGGTCAGCCTTATTTGGTAAATTCTTATTAGGCTCTATTGAAGTAGTAGCAGAAGAGAAAGAGCTAATTGGGACTAAGGTTGCATTCAGCAGCCTTCTCCCAGGATTTGAGAGTTTTGTCCTCGGTATCTGTTTTGTACAATGCAAGGCGACTTATCTGGAATAAAGGAGGCTCAAGTGTGGCATGTACGCTACAAGGAAATAGAAGTAATTGTCAATTATCAAAGTCTCAAATTTTATTTTCAGCGAGGATAATAGTCCTCTTATCATAGAAAACAGTTCTATTCCATTCTTAAAGACAAACAGCAATCACCAACAACCACTTGTCTAACCACTCGAGTCCGACAAGCTAAAGCAAAGGTGAGGATATGGGCTCAATAATAAGCTAAATTAGAGAAATTTTGCTTTTAAAAAGAAGGGTAAACAGTCGTTTTAGGCATCAATAGTCATCGTCAAAACGACATCATTTTGTCCACATCATCACAGTGACAAAATGATCTGTCACGTTATTGTGCCGTTAAAATTTAACGTCCCAATAGCATAATTGAAGTTAAAACCAAAGTTCAATTCTATAATTGGAGAAACTAAAAGTTCAATGATATAAACGATCCCCGTCTAAAGTTCAAAGGAATTTGCTGTAGTTTACCCTAAAAAGAATTAGAGAAATAGGGTTCTGGGAGTTTATTTAGGGAAATAGAGTATCTTCTACATTGATTGCCAATTCTGCCTATTTCTCCCCACATTAACACCCCTTTTCCCCTTCTCAATAGAATACTTGTAGCAGTCAAAATGTTATCTTTACTCGATTAGTTACTCCACCTTCTATAATTCCAACCATTTCTGCAGATAAATCATATAAAAACCTCAGGGAATATAGCTATGGGTTAGTCTAATGAATTTCAGCATTAACGTGCAGTGGAGTTACTGAATATTCAGGGTGCCTAAAGATGTTAAAAAAGGCAAACACTTTTAAGCAGTAACAACTTACGGCTTGATCGCTTGTAACCAAAATGGCCACTACAATGCTCACTAGTTTCCACCACCTGGAGAAAATTTCAAAACAAAGTGATAAAACTCTTACTTCATTCACTCCAACAAAGATTTGTTCTTCGAATTTTAGCAAATGGAAGGAAATCCAAAGCGGGAATATTACCTCGGAAGTGGGGTGAAGCAGCAAAAAGACGCACTGATAAAAGAAAGTCCCAGTAGCCACACGATCGACGGTGGCATTATAAGCCTTGAGGCCACCACAGGCGGCCCTGAACTTGGCCAACGCATCATCGGGCGCTAAACTGATGGCCCCAACAACCGTGACATGGGGCTCGAACGGCGGCCCGCCGAACTCGGATCGTAAACCTTCCATCACCTTCTTCACCCTGGCGGTGACGTCTTCGGGCGTAAGTTCCCACACTGAATACACATCTTTCTTGACCACGGCTTCAGGGGTTGCCATGAACGCGAACGAAGTGGGAGTGGAAATGGATCGAGGTGTAAGAGAACAATGGATGGGAATTGGAAGGTGCTTTCTGGGGATTGAATTTGGGATTTTGGAGACGGAAAAAGTATGGGTTTGGGATTTTAAAATGGCAACTTGGGTCAGGTGGCGCATGGGAAGAGCAATATGCCCTTTGAGCTTCCAGTGGAATGCCAGGCTTTTGCGCCATGCGACAAGTTTTCATTTGTTTGTCATTTTTAAACAATCTCCAAGTGTGACTTCAAACCAAGATTTCTTATGATGTGATATATTTTATTAGTATTTTAAATAAATAAATAAAAATATTATAATTCGAAAGTGGTCTCCTCTCTTTCTGAAAAATTGAAAACCATTTTAATTCTCACGACGAAGATGTTATAGACAAATTATCTTTGTCGCTGCAGTTTCAACTCTCCTTTCCCTCTTAATAACAAAATCCGAGATTTCTCCTCTAAGGTTATTGAAAGAAAGATCAATTGTATCGTTGCCATAGATTTTCTTAGTGAATTGTGGTAGGAGTTCATGTTATATTGAATAGTGACTAAACTATGAGTAATTCTAAAATTTAGTAATTATACTGAATCTTTTTAAATTTTAATGACTAAAATAAGAGTAAATGAGAAGAAATCTATTTTAAAGGATAATTACTTTTATAATATATTTTAATTAATATTTAAATAAATAATGAAAAATAATAATATTTTTCTCTTAATTATAGATACTTATTGAACAATTGATAATAAACAAATAGGATTATAACCACTCCACCTAAGAACTGATTGGTTCTTACAAATTAATAGGTCCATAATAGTGAGGAAAACGGTTACATGGCCCAGTGCAAGGATGGGTTTATGAGTGGCGTTCTTGCCGAATTTTAAAAAAGAATATCAAATACATGTGAATATATCAAAAGTTTCATTTTTTTTAAAACTAACTATTAATTTATTCTGTTTAAGACGCTGAAAACATTACATTTTTAATTTTATTCATTACCTTTTAAAAAAACTAAAAAACTGTTGATGTAATATTTTTTCAATGATCAATTTATTTTTTTTAATGATAAGTGTTCCAAATGAAATCAAAAAATAATATTAGTGATATTTTTTAAGATAAAATAATTGAGTGACTAAAATAAAATCAAAAAAGATAATTTAATGACTAAAATAAAATAAAAAGATAATTGAATGACTAAAATGAAACTAAAATAATAATTGGATGACTGAATATGTAATTTAGTCTTAAATTTATTTGCTCCGGATCTGACAAAGATAATTGAACTTTGGACAGTACACACAAACTCTAATGATTATAACGGAAACTACACAATTTTAGTCTACAACACAAGAAAGCACTAATAAGCCACATTTTAGCCAAATTAAGGCGTGTACTAAGGGAATGGAGCTCTCAACTTCATCTCGGTCTTCTCAATGTCAATGGCAAAACCCTTCCCGTGCTGTTTCCAGTAGTCAGCCTGTGGATTGATCCATTCAGGTTCTTCAATCTCCACCCTCGACTCCCTTATTTCTTCACTTGATATGTTGTATTTGTCATCCCTCTTCTTCACCAGCTCCGGGTCTACCTTCCCCAAGTTCACCCCCTGCGGTGACATCATCAACGCCGGTGCACCAAGTGGCAGCTTATCACCCCTATCCACCTGCCATGTGCACCAGAACTTACCGTAGGTCTTAGCCAAGTTTTCCAGTTCTGGTTTCCCAATTATATCTGGGATTCTGGGATTAACCCAGAGGCCTGATTTGATCTCATAAGCATGTGAATGCCAAAGTTTTTGCTCTTCTGTTGGAAGGGCTTCAAACAGTCGATCGGAGATTATATATTCAATCCCTTCATAGAAACCGAATAACACTTGTTCAGTTCAGCATTTTGTTTCATTGTAAATTAGTTTGAAAAGAAAAAAAGCTGACCGATGAGGCGGGCATTGGAGTCATCGGATTCATAAACGGGACACTGGAGAAAGTCCTGGTTGAGCCTGCTGACGTAGTGGTGAGTCTCGATTTGACGACACATATCATGGCTATACAAGGCGAAAGTGCAGACATGTTGGCTGATTTGTTTCACCGGTGTCAAAGACTGCAACATTGATGCGCCCTTGTCGACCACCTGCTGCCCCATCGACATGGGTTTTCCGGGTGGTGTTGACTCGACAGCACCTCGAGCGGGTGTGGGAGCCGGGGACTTGTCACTGGAAGCCATTGGAAAGGACTTTGGGTTGAAGATTGGTGTGAAGATTTAGGGGGTTATATGGGAAGTGAGAAAGTAGATGGGAAACGTGGGGGGGATATTTTGTGGCCACCTTGACATGCATGGAGAATGAGGTGGCTGACGGTGGGCGAGGTGTCTCGCCAGGTGGGTGCTTTTGAGGGAAATTTGGGGTCCATGTGCTCTTCTTTTCAAGAAATTCTTGGATTCGATCCATCCGTTAATAAAATTTATCAATCTCAAAGTAATTTTCAAATAACTTAATTCTTTATCATATGTAGAAAAGAAGTAAAAATTCATTATGTAAAAGAAAAATGAATAGATTAATTTATTAATTATGACCACAAATGATATAATGAGTCGAATTATCTATTATTATTTTGCAACAAGCAAACATTATACGTCATTCAGACACCTAATGATATGTTGACTTGACTTGCATTAGGTAAGCTTATTTACTCACTACGAACCGATTCATACCCATCCTACAAGCCATCATTCAATGGTTCTTAAAATAAAATAATAATAATCTATTATTGACCCAATTAAGAAAATTTTAGCTGATCTTGTTCTAATATGTAATGGGGTAAGGGGAGGTAGGATAGTAGGCTACCCCTAACGTCAGGTTGAGAGCACCTTCCGTGGGAGACCTCAATTATGAATTGTCTACCGTAGAATTTGATCCCACGACCACAAGGTTAAAAACCTTATACACTACCAACTGAGTTAGACAGACAATTCATTTGACCCAATTAAGAGATTAAACCAAATATTTACGGTCTGGAAATGAACTTCTACGTATTGAAGTCCTGGGGTGGATGAATTCTTGGAAGCAATCAGTAAAAAGTACGAGGTGGTGGTGTTCACCGCTGGCCTTGAGCCATACGCGTCATTGTTGCTCGATGTTCTAGGCGCCAAATCTCACCGTTTATACAGAAATTCATGCAAGCAAATAGGTCGGGGAAGATTCATCAAGGATTTGTCAAAGATAGGGAGAGATCTTGGAAAAGTAGTGATTGTTGATGACAACCCTATATCATATTCTTTGCAACCAGCGAACGGGATCCCCATAAAACGATTTGAAGATGACCCGGAAGACATGGTATCGAAGAAATTGACTAAGATATGATAATCGTTTGAGATTATGAGATCTATCTCAGTTGTATCTTAACATCCATCTTAGACCGTCATCAATTTTTTAACGAAAAATAATGAATTTAGAACACAATGAATAGTCGATTGACCATTTTGTAACTTTTAATAGTAAAAAGACTCAACAAAGCAACTCTCTATAGTATGACGACCATTTAGTAATTTTAATAGTCGGTGAACTTAACAAAGTAGTATCTTATAGTCCTGAGACTATTTGTATACTTCACCCTAATTTTTAATTAATAACTATTTATTTAAATACAAACTAAAATATAAATATTACAAAATTATATAACATCGACACATATGAAATTAGTACTAAAATTCGTCACAACTTTAATATTTGTAAATATTGGAAAAAATATAATTAACATCGTAAACATAACAAAAAATTATAACATAATAATATTATAAAAAAATTTATGGGTTTGATCATGATATAGATTAAGTTGTTTGGTGTCTTTATTTTTAAAGGAATATTAATGATAAGTTTATCATTATAATTTAATTTTAAAGGAAGTAAATGATTTTATGTTAGATTTGTTGAGTCAAAAGTATTTTTCGATCAAAGAGATATCATATTTGCATTTAGTAGGCCAAAAGTGAGTCAATTGTAAATTTATGGTCCAACGGTTTTCAGTAACGACGATCGATGGCGATTGAAAATAACGGTGGTGAGTGGTGGACGGCAACAAGAGACTTTAGTCCAATTTATAGGTAAAATTGATATTTTATCTAAAGTTTCGGTTCAAAATGATACTTCATGTAAAGTTCATAGATCAAATTAAAAATTAATCCTTTTCAACTAACATGTCACATCATCAAGTTAACATGAATCAATAGCCCAGTAATCAAATTAAACATTGTTTCATCCGGTGGTTTTGAATATGATGTTTCCTTTGCTGATTTGTTTTCTTCAGAGTTGCTGGCTTTATCTTTTGAAGAACAAGTTTGATGTTTCTGTTGTGTTTTACTTGTTTCGTTCCATAGTTTGAAATCAATTTATTACTTCATTGGTTGCCGTCTAAACTGATGGTGAAGCAGAGTTTTGGGTAATAGAACAAATCTTAATTCAACTCGGTATACACTATACAACGTCGAGTCATATGTTACTTCATATTTGATGACAAATTTATTCAGTAGGGGACCCTATGAAATTGAAAACCCTCTTGGAGGAGTTCGCTACCTGAGGGAGCAAATCAAGTTCATTTATGAGAAAACGACCTTAAAGCAAAACCAAACTGTTCCATCAACTAACTAAAGACTCTGCATGACACGATTACCATGTATTTACTTCGTCAATTACAGTCTCTTTTACCGGTGACAAGTTACTCTAGTGGGACGAGGTATTAAATCCCTTAAGTAAAATCAGAGGTTCGAATCATGACGTTTGTGAATGGAGCTAACTGGGTTGGAGGTTTATCATTGCCTCTGCAGTATCCGATCCAAATTAGTCAATAAATAAATCGGAAACCGGTCATACCAAAAAGAAAATTAGTCTCTTTTGTCATTGAATTCCTGCTGCAGTCTTTTGAGTACCATAAATAAGACAGCAAGTGGCAGCTGTTCTCTTTAACCATTGTCCCTTATAACATCAATCAATTATTACTAGGAGGAATGCATTCAAAATTGTTCCTTGCTTTTCCCCCAATTGTTCACAAGGTTACTTGGATTAAACAAAACCAACCATGTTAATCGGTTAATGGGTGTAGTTTATCCAACACCGACCACCATGTGATTTCTTTACAAGGAGCTTGTTGAAGGAAGGTTGATGTCTTAAGTTGGGTAGAAAGTTGTTTATAGTTTCCATTCATAGGGGTTCAAGAAACAGCAACGGTCCCCATGAATGGGGTTCCAAAAGGCAGAGTATCACTGCAGATAAAAGCTCTGGGTATTTTTCTTGGGTTGGCGACTGTCTTCCTCTGGCGGCTCTCGTCTAGTGTACAAACTAGAGGGCATTGTATCCGACATGGAGTGGGGAAAGATGAATGTAGTTGATTTTAAATAAGTAGTTTGAACCTGCTTTCCCTAAGGAGGTGGGAAGAGACCGTTGTTGCCTCGATATTTGTTGAACTAAACCAGCCTCGGTTAAGGGGAAACACATGATGATGTCTTTTCCTGGTGTTTCCCTCGTGTGGTTATAAAAAGAAACATCAATAATCTACGAGTGTTGTCTCGCTGGAGGAGTTGAAGGTCCGGGTTGGGTGCGTTCAAACGCGTGCTAACAGCTATCAGGTCCTCGCCTCTGATCACCTCTAAACCCCTTTTTTCGATTGCTTTTTGTTTTTTAAATTTATTAAAAAATTAAAACATATATAATAATTAGATAATATATCAAAGATTACAACTATATTTTAAAATCGAAAAATTACATAGTACTTAAGGGTGTTTTTTTTATAATCACTGTTTTCAATTTATTAATCGACTAATCTAAATCGAGTATTTCAAAAGTAAAGAACCCTCCCAACCCAGTTTGCTCAATTCATAAAGCTAGGAATGATGTTTTGATGTTAGTTAGTTGTCCTATTGTGTAAATATTTAAATTATTTTTAAAAAATATTTGAAAATAAAAAAAAATTAAAATTTGCAAAGAAATAAAAAAAAAGTGTAAACAAATACAGATCAAAATTATTCGAAACTGTAAAATTTACAAGAATATTAAAAATATACAAAAATTTGATTAAAAATGAAATAATCATGTCAACTTATATCTATTATTTTTTATCAATTTGAAAGGAGAAAGAGAGAAGAAAAATTAAAAGTTTGAATGCAAAATATGTTAACAAAAGTGTTTTAAAATGGTGATAAAAAAAATTACTTATACATGGTGCAGTAGAAATTATTTTTTGAACTATAATATTTATTACAATACTTGGTGGAAATTATCAGGATTATATAATAATTTCTAAAAAGTGTATGAATTGCCCGACGATTTTTCCATACGATGACCTAGAAAAACATGATTTTTGACAGAATTTGTTGTTAGTCGAATAATATAACAAAAACTTTAATTCAGATTATCACATATAAGATTAATTCTTTTCACTATTTTTCAAGTAAAATGTCCATAAAATCAAAATGTTATAATAAAACAACAAAAAGATTAATTTCACTGTTTGGAAAAGAGAGAATGATAACATGAAGAATGGTGTGACCATAATTCATTGGCCGCCCCTTGTTAGAAAAAGAATTCCAATTGCATCCAAAGTCAGCAATCAATAAGTTTGACCACTGAAATTATCAACTCATTTAGAGGTAGAGTTAAATAAAATTCGACTCGATTAAAAAAAATGATTTTTTTTCAATTTGACTCTAAAATTGATCAGATATTCTCCCAACACATGATCAGATAATCTCAGTTCTATAATGTTTTTTTCATATTATCTGAATTTCAATGAAAGAATTTGTAAATATATTACCAACAAAAATGACAACATATATAAGCGACATTGTGATGTTTGCCTTCACAAAACCTGCACAGAGATGGACATAGGCACCGAGACATCATCGGCAAATCGTGAATCCCTGTTCGAAGTTGCTGAGTTGCCTGCAAATGCATATCCGACACCCAGTCCACCGAAATGCAAGGATGCATTCTCGCACCTCTGAAACACTCTTGCAAGTGATGCAGCCTTTCTCCTTGCCCGTTTTGTGCCCGTGAATAACAGTGTCTGAAGCAAGCCGGCCAATGCTGGGGCCTTGAGCACTCTTTCGGTTGCAGCAGCCCCACCACTGCGGCACAACTCGAGCAGTGCTGCCACTGCATTCTCTTTACCTCTTGCGGTTCCGCATCTCATCATCGTTATTAACCCTGTCACTGCCATTTCTTCCTTCCCCACAGCTTCAGCACCGATTGGTTGCCTAACGATTAAGGCCAAGGCACCCGCAGCTTCCTCCGCAACCCCTTCATTCACCAAAGCTCCTACTAGTGCTGTAACAGCTCCGGCTTCGATCATTCTTGCACAATTCTCCAAATGAGTTGACAGATTAAATAAAGCAGTTACAGCATCCTTCTTCCCTCTCGGAGTCCCCACTCTCAACAACCCTGCTAAAGCTTCAATTGCCCCTCCCTGATCGGCTATTCTCTTCTTATAGTCATGCACTGCTGAGAGGCTGAACAATGTTGCTGCTGCATTTTCCCTAGCCTCCGATGTGAGCCCCAGCCTCAAGACTTCAACAATCGATCCTAGACAACCATCCTCGCCCATAATCCGGATTTTGTTTTTATCATAAATTGATAAGTTCAGCATTGCAGTAACAGAATTCTCTTGGGCAACAGGGTTTGAAGATGACAGCAACTTACGTAAGTGTGGTATTGCCCCGGCCTCTGCAATAAAAGCACGGTTTTTCTTTCCTGTTTTCGCCAACAAGCGTATCTCACGAGCAGCAATAGCCTGAGCTCCCTGAGATCCATTGGCTAGATGTTTAACGAGAAGCGTTGTTGTTGCTCTATTGGCTTCGGTTGCAGCTTTGATTGGCAAAGCTTCAGCAAATGACTCTGTGGATCTATCTGCAGTCTCCACGTGATCATATGGGACATTATGAGCAGTACACCACAGCATGATCAAGCTCTTCAAAGCTCGATTAGGAACAAGGCGAGTATGGATGAGCATTTGCCCCGTCTTCGGACAAGTAAAATGGCCTTCCTCCATCCACCTAACTATCGAGCTCCGATCATAAGTCTGACCTGTCGAAATTATCACTGGATCCGTCATCAAGTCCAAAGATATCGGACAACAGAAGTCCTTAGATATGGTTATAAACGTATCCGCAATCTCCCGGGTAATCAAACCTTTTCTCAGTTTCTTCTGATTGCCAAAAGGCAGCTTCACCTCATCTTCCTCAAAACCAAATAGCAAAAACCTACAATATCTGGTAATTGCAACAAATCCATTAAGCACACAAGCTGTAGGTTCAATATCTCCCTCATGATTCACAATCTGCTCTTCCAAAAACTCGATTTCAGACCTACAACTTTTGGCATCCCTAATTCCCAATCTTTCCACAAAGAACAATCTTAAATCCACATGATTAGGTACCCTTCCTTTCTCAAACTCATTAAGAAACGAAAAGAACCTAAGCCTTAGATTTTCATCACTTTTATCAACATACAATTTTCCCTTCCTAGCATGTTTCTGCAACAGTTCAACCTGTTCCCTGACATCATCACTCAATCCAACATCATTTATTGGGAAAACATCCAAAAGGGTAGAAATTTCTTGATTAAGATCATGGAAATGGCCTGAAATCGAATGGTTTTGAAGCAAAAGCCACAACTTACTGGATTGAGCACAATAATCAAGCAGTATCTTTGACCTGTAGAGCAACAAATAGAGCTCCTTGAAGCACAAAATGGCTGTTGAAGGAAAGCTTGGCATAGACCCTGACCCTGAATCCCTCAGATACTCCAACATAACAAGGAAAACTTCCATCTTGCGAATCAAAGATCGAGAATTCCTCCGCTGAAAGAAGAAGACTCTGTTGGCAAAGCAAGAGATAAGTTCAGATGAGACGGCTGCTAGGGTTTGAACAAGAGCCACCTCGGTTAAGTCAACTGGCGCCAAGAAAGCCTCGAGAGACGGAGATCTTCTCCTCCTTAGAGAAGAGAATATAGCAGCTAAGGCCATGGTTAGCTCTGCAAAAATGAAGAAGAAGACCAAAGGATGATTTTTCAGCCTTATTCTAGCTCTGGGTTGTTGGTTGAATCTTCAAAGGATGTTGTCAACAAAAGATGGCAACATTTTATCTTTAAATTAAAAAAAAAAGTCTTCTTTCTGAAATGGGATTCTTTGATTTGTGTGAAAAACTAAAAACCAAACCCGCGTTTGGGAAGGGGAAGGGAAAGGGAAAAGGAGGTGAATTTTCCTTCAAAGACTTTTCTTTTATAATTAATATAAAACATATTTAAAATAATAAAAAAAAACTTTCCCTTTCCCTTTTGCTTTTGGTTTTCTTTGTTTGTCAAAGAATTTCAATGCAAGTTGCAGTGAAAATGACATGAATAGCTTTGAATGCCCATTCGTTTCTTCTACTCTACTGTTTAAAGAGAGGGTAGTGGTGGTTTAAATGCGTACAGCTATGGTAAAACCATACAAGACGCCACGATTTTTCCATTTCAAGCAAGGATTTAATTTTCCTGGATTTGGAGATTTTTTTCTTTTACCATTTTGAGAAAAGCTATCCTATTGTTTAATTTTATTTTGTTTTGGTTTTATTAAATTTAAATTTAAGATAAAAGTACATAAATGGTCTCCCGGTTATAAGACGTTATGTTATTAAATTTATCAATTATTAAAAGTTACCAAATAATCATTTAATTATAAGATGTTACTTTGTTTATAAAATAGTCACCCGACTATTCATATATATCAAATATAGAAGACTATCTCAACTGAATGTTAACTTGCTCATTGGGACATGATAAAAATTTGATTTCATAACTATTTAAGTTGTATTTTGTGGATCGAGTCTCTGTTTATATTATGTCATCGAGTCAGTTCTTGAAACACTATGACGTTAAACCTGTGTTTGAAAGCAACGACGATGCCAATAGATATTATTAAAATATAATTTTATCATTTCTCAATTAGTAGGTTAACATCCATATCAGATGACCGTAAATTTTTTAACCAAACAGGACAATTTTAGAACATATAAATAGTCGAGTTATTGTTTTGTAACTTTTAATATTTACGGACTCAATAAAGTAACACCCTATAGTCGGAGGATCATTTTGTAACTTTTAATAGTGGATGACTTAATAAACCATTGTCTTATAATCGGGGATCATTTGTATAATTTACCCTCAAATTTATTAGATTTAGTCTACTTTTTAATTTATAAATTAAAAGGTGATTACTTGAATTTAATTGATTTTTATTTATTTATAACTAATTCTAGAACTTTTAATATAAAATAAGTACATTTAAATGAGTAAAGTGATATGAATCAAGCGATATTGGTGGTTAAAAATTTGTTATTATTCATTGAGGTCCTGGGCTCGAACACTGTGTATATTAAGGGTGTATGAGTGTTCATTGTCAAAGGTTAAAAAATCTTTGAACATATAATATCTTATATTTACCGATCTATTTGAATCTGACTAGAAAATTGAAGATTGTACTCCACCTATATATATATATATATTATTTTATTTTATTAAATAAAATAAAGACTTAATTGAAAATTTTTATAGAAATAAATATTAATTCAATTATTCCTAAATATATAAAGAGAATTTATAATATTATGTCGGATTAGATTTCTTCATTCTAAATCTAAATCTGACCCTACTCGATAACACTCTAAAAAATTGACTCGACCTAAAATTAAATTTTTAAAATAAAAAAGTTGATTCAATTAAATTAGATCATATCAAAACTCGAGTAAAATAGTGTTGCCATGTTTCCAATAAATAATTCCTCACGGACTTTTTAAATTTTATTTTGAATTTTAAAAATAGTATAAACTTTGTTTTTATGTTTAAATCTAAAATAAAAGGGATGAGTGGACAATTGCATTTACCTCCATTCAAGGGTTGACCCGAAACAAACAGATGGCCCACTCGACATGTAGGCGCGTGGACTTTTGAAGTTTTATTAGAATAAGAAAGTGAAGCTTTTTTTTTTAATGTTTAATCTTTGTTTTGTAGCCAACTGCCAAGCTGGCAAAAGTTTAAAGGTTTCCACTTTGACTAAAAATAAACGTTTTTCCCCAAAACTCAATTATTACCCGACCCGACCCGTTGACCCGACCCGTTGACCGTTGACCCGTTGACCGTTGACCGGAGTTGACCATTGTTGACCAAAACTTTGACCGGCTTTGATCGGGCATTAAACGACCTTTGACTTCGACCGAGTATACCTATCCTGACATTTTTCGACGTTCCAAATCCGATTCCGCTGTCCGTTTTTCGAAATTCAAACCCGAAGACCTAGAAATTGTCAGTCAAACCCGTTGACTTTGATTTTGACCGAAAATTCCAAATTTCCGAAAAGTCATATTTTATGCTTTCGACGTCCTGAATCCGAATCCGAAGTCTGTTTCACCAAATTCGAACCCGGTAAGCCGTCTTTCACTAATTTATCACCCGATTCGATCCGTTTATCGTAATTAAGCTCCGTTTCTGATATAATTTATGTTGATATGTATCTGAGGAATTATTGGAAGTTGAATTGAAGATCAAAGGCGTTCGAATGGAATTTTTATGGTCGATCAGTATTGCACGGAAATCAAGGTAATACTTTACTACCTCTTTATGCTTTATGGAACATGTTGATATTGGTAAATGCATGAATAAGATAATGTTGATCACTTTTGTGGAGTTGAATAATTTATTCACTCGATATGAATGTGGTAGAAATTCTGTAACTGAATACGGATCGAATGACTAAGATAAGAGATTGATAATTGTTAGAATTAAATTACAAGTTTGTGATTGGTGATAAAGAAATCAGCTCTGGATTTGTAACTTATATTTTATATCATCAAGGGTTAAATGTTAAAGATACTTGGATGAAAAATTATGAGAATACTCCGATATGGTAAAATTACGAAATTACCCTTATGTTGGAAAATGATAAGAATTGTCCCTGGAAGTTGGTTAATAACTCTGAAAATACATATTGATCCGATATAACTACTGATGTGCATAAGAAATGTTAGTTTTATTTGGAAATTATGGATAATCGGTTTTAATCCTATGAGAGTTTGTGAAGGAATCATTTCAAAATCAAAGAATGTTCGGGGAAAGCAATTGATCATAGGATCTCTAAATTATAATTATTTTCGTTAAGTGCTAATATTGAAATTATTTGGTTAAGAAATTACGAAAATGCCATTGAGAGATAAAATAGTCTGAATTGACCCTGAATGAGAGAGTACTTTGAGGATTTGTACTTAACTCGATTAAGTACGAATTTAATTGTTAAGAGTAATTACTTGAAGAGTACTTTGAGAATTGTAACACCCCAATTTAGGGGCTAAATTTAATAAAATATAAATTGGTGGATTTAATTTGGTATTTTGAAAGAAATAAGGGATTAAATTGTAAGATTTCAAAGTTGACAGACTGTTTTAAGAAGTGCATGAAGTTCAGTGGCTAAACTCTTGGTTTAGCCATTTTTAATTATGAGATGTTATAAACCCCCCAGACTCCCGAATGTTTCTGGAAAATTTTCCAGTTTTCCTCTCCCGTTCTCCCTACTTCCAACTCCGATCTACTCGCCGTCCGACCTCCAAACGACAAGCCGAAACAACCATCGTGTTCGTTGTCAACCGAGGAACAAAACCCCTCAAACCTTTCGTCGTGAATCATCGCCGTTCGTCGTGAATTTCAGTCGGAAGTATCGTCGGTAATAACTCGGTTTTAGTTGGTTTTTCATCGATTCACGACGATCGGGTCATCCGTTTACGACACCTCCCGCACCATCGTGTTCCTTGTGCCGTTCCGAGTCCACCGGTGTTCTCCTTTTTCTCCGGCGGCGGCAGCGCGTTGGGAGGTGAACCGGGTCAAACTTCCCGATTTGTTGAAATCGAGCTCTCCGCCGTTCAAAATTGTGAACCGAGCTTTGTAAGTATCTCGAAATCGCTCAAATAATTTTTAGAAATTTTTCCGGATTTTATCACTGTTCACGCGCCCCCACGCGCCGCCACTGCGCGTGGGGAAGGGAAAAGTGACCGGTTTGACCGGTTTTGGAACTGTTTTGACCGGTTTGACCGGTCACAACCCGACCCGACCCGTTGACGGTCTCGACCCGGTTACCCGACCCGGTTACCCGACCCGACCCGTTGACCCGACCCGTTGACCGTTGACCCGTTGACCGTTGACCGGAGTTGACCATTGTTGACCAAAACTTTGACCGGCTTTGATCGGGCATTAAACGACCTTTGACTTCGACCGAGTATACCTATCCTGACATTTTTCGACGTTCCAAATCCGATTCCGCTGTCCGTTTTTCGAAATTCAAACCCGAAGACTTCGAAATTGTCAGTCAAACCCGTTGACTTTGATTTTGACCGAAAATTCCAAATTTCCGAAAAGTCATATTTTATGCTTTCGACGTCCTGAATCCGAATCCGAAGTCCGTTTCACCAAATTCGAACCCGGTAAGCCGTCTTTCACTAATTTATCACCCGATTCGATCCGTTTATCGTAATTAAGCTCCGTTTCTGATATAATTTATGTTGATATGTATCTGAGGAATTATTGGAAGTTGAATTGAAGATCAAAGGCGTTCGAATGGAATTTTTATGGTCGATCAGTATTGCACGGAAATCAAGGTAATACTTTACTACCTCTTTATGCTTTATGGAACATGTTGATATTGGTAAATGCATGAATAAGATAATGTTGGTCACTTTTGTGGAGTTGAATAATTTATTCACTCGATATGAATGTGGTAGAAATTCTGTAACTGAATACGGATCGAATGACTAAGATAAGAGATTGATAATTGTTATAATTAAATTACAAGTTTGTGATTGGTGATAAAGAAATCAGCTCTGGATTTGTAACTTATATTTTATATCATCAAGGGTTAAATGTTAAAGATACTTGGATGAAAAATTATGAGAATACTCCGATATGGTAAAATTACGAAATTACCCTTATGTTGGAAAATGATAAGAATTGCCCCTGGAAGTTGGTTAATAACTCTGAAAATACATATTGATCCGATATAACTACTGATGTGCATAAGAAATGTTAGTTTTATTTGGAAATTATGGATAATCGGTTTTAATCCTATGAGAGTTTGTGAAGGAATCATTTCAAAATCAAAGAATGTTCGGGAAAGCAATTGATCATAGGATCTCTAAATTATAATTATTTTCGTTAAGTGCTAATATTGAAATTATTTGGTTAAGAAATTACGAAAATGCCCTTGAGAGATAAAATAGTCTGAATTGACCCTGAATGAGAGAGTACTTTGAGGATTTGTACTTAACTCGATTAAGTACGAATTTAATTGTTAAGATCCTGTCTTTGTACAGAAAAATTTATAATATTTCGTTTGTAAAATCTGAGAAGACACTTGACCCGAAAATATTCGAATAAGGAGTAAATACTTGAAGAGTAATTTATTGGAGGTATTCTGCTGATAGAATTGTTCGAAATGACTGAAGTAAATGATAAGATTGAATTAAATAATAAGACCGGATGGAAGGAAATGATTGAAATATTCTAGAATTATAAAATGACCAAATTACCCCTGGAATGGAAATAACTCAAGAATGTCACCAAGCTCAGGAATGAATGGATATACTCAAGCTTTGAAATGAATAGAAAAAAATGTTAAGCACCAAAATGACCAAAATGCCCTTATGACCTAGAATAAGTAAATGTCTTGGATTAATTAAGAAATCCAAATAAACATGGATGTTGTGCTACCAGTAAAAGTTGTGAAACACAACTTAAGTGATTAACCAACATTAGTACTATATCATTACCTGAATGATATAAGTATCACTTGAATGTTTGTTCATCTGCTCAAATTTGGATCGATGATAATTCTGGAAGTACTTGGCGCAGCTCAACTCTAGAGCGCATACAGTACTAATAAGTGGGTAGTCGTTAGTCAAATCAACCAAGAATACCATAATAACTTTATTATATGAATAAATTGAAATGAAATGTAGTACAACGTGTATTTGAAAATTCAGAAACGTCTGAATTATTCTGGAAAACTTTAAAGTAATCGAGATAGACTTGCTTACCAAACGAACTAAGTAACATCAATGAGTATGGATTAAATAGGTGATTTGATGAGTTTGGAAACACTGTTGAACTTACATGATGAATTGTCATTATGGGTTATGAGCCATGGATCCAGTACGTCAGTATTTCCTGATATTGTTGAAACGTGGAAATGAAATAAAGACCGTTGGAAGATTTATTCAGTGATGATTATGGGGATGATCTATGGATCTGCACTATGGTATTAAAGAGTGAATGCATTGGAAGGATAATGAATTGATTTGTTGACATGCATCAGTCTGTGAGTTGTGTAACTTGAGTTGTTTGATAATACTATCGATAGTCATAGATCGTAAATGACTTGAATCTTCGATTACATATTTTGATCTAAAATCATTCGGTCATGTTTGAAAACGCAAGTAACGCAGAAGGAAAAGATTCTGAATACCTCATTTGGTACAATTGGGCTGAAATCCTATGAATTCAAAGTATATTCCTGAATACCCCTGATTGTTTGGGTAATGGAATCACTCGCAGTAAATCTGAATTTAGAATTATTATGTAAAAAGGTTTCTGAACGTTTTCCTGATGCACATGGAAACTTAGTGGAATTCTAAAGTATCAATCAGAAATGTCTGATTATATTGGTTAGAAATCGATTCTCTTCAATGAGATCTTATTCCTGGAATCTGATCAAATTGCACAAGTTCGTGTTATCCATATTGATAACTACAAAATGCGTCTGAAAAATATATGGATTCTCTAGTGTGTTCCTTATATTTTGAAAAAAAATGTTTTATTGTTTTAACACGTGGTACACTGAAATCTATGGTTTCTATTTTATGGATGCACCGACTTAACGGTGATGGCTTATGGATTTGTATCATTGTATAAACTGTATCTTGGAGATACATATTTGTAAAGTACAGCTCTGATCAAGCTGGAAAATTTTTATGGACCTAATGTGACACTTAGGTAGGCTCTGCGGCCCTGAGATCATTCTCGGGTAGGCCCTGCGGCCCTAAGATGTGTTCTTAGGTAGGCCCCACGGCCCCGAAATCTATCTTGGGTAGGCTCTCAGGCCCTAAGATGTTCCCTTAGGTTAATTCTTGGTAAGATGGTTTTAAAATACGAGTTTAAAAAGCTCCACTACAATATGGTTTATGGGATTTTACTGAACTATCATTTGATTAGTGTACCTATTATGATTTTTATCGTATTGATGAAACACACTAGACATCCTATTTGACCTCATGAAAACGTGATTGTATGAAAGGTTTCTTATGAACTGAGATTCATGGCTTCTACTCGATGAACTTCTAAGGGAACCCCAAATTATTCTACAAGCTGGTATACATATGATTCAATAAGGAAATTATATGGCTTTCCATTTATCTACATGTCATGTAGCATCATATGGTAGTTCTGTATTACTGAGCTTTCCAAAGCTCACTCTATTACTCACCTTTTCAGGTTAAAACAATTGTACCAGTGCATCTATCGACTTCAGTAAGGGAGTTCTTCCGGCGTGGTTGCAGAGTATGGTACTTGTGATTAGGGGGCATGAAATTGTATTTTGATTTATATACGAGTTTGGAAATCTGTTTTATTTTTAAATAGTGATAAATGATTTTATAAGTTTACATGTTCTGATAAAAAGTTTTAAAATTTCCGCTATTTTTACGGTGGGTCGCTCCGGTGGCCCTAATGTGACTTCCCGAATCGGATCGGGCTACCCGCATCGGTCTGGGGTGTTACAGAGAAAGTATTTTTTAGTCACTCAAATTTATGATTTTTTCATTTGAGTCCTAATCTTTTTGGTCTACATTCATTTTTTAATTTGAATTTTTTTCTTATTTTTAGTCATTTTAGTAATATGGAACCATAACCAACGGAGTTAGTTTAAGTGGTAAACAGCTTGATATCTGTAGACACCTGTTTTTGACCGGGTTTTATATTTTTATTTTTATTATTATAATTTATTTATTATTATTAATAATTTCTTTATTTTATTTTTTGTAGGAACCCATGTTCAACCCCACTACTCCACCACTACCCACTACCCAAAAATAAGGGAACCTCTATTGCTATCTTCACCATTTCAATACTCCCACAGCGTCCATGATCTGACGACCGACCTCTCCACGATTCTGGGCTCTTTTCTCTCTTTCAATTCCATCAACAGGAGGATAAAAACAGGACTCGACCTTCAAATCGAGGGGGACTCGGGCAGGGCCAAGGGGGCTGGTCCTTGCAACATTTAAAACCTACCCTGGAACTCCTAGAGATCAACTAAAAAGATTTGTTAGAGTCTGATAATGTTGCTTCCAAGCCTGAGAAGCAGAAAAAGGTGAACTGACTCAAGAATTCAGTCTGTCAAAGATCAAACCTGAAGAACGTTGCTCCTCGACACGGTGTGGGCAACAAAGGTGGCCATTGGAACCCACCGAGAGCAAGGACCTTTAAACCGAACACCGATAGTGGTGTGAATCCCATGACGATGAAGCCGTCCAGCGGTGGTGTGATCAGAGACGATAGAAGAGACTGGATCGTTGGTTACACCAAAAATATTGGATGTTGCTCAATTTTACAAGCTGAATTCTGGCGGGTTCTTGATGGCCTCGAGGTTGTTTGGGAACGAGGCCTGTAGCAATTGATCGTGGAGATGGATAGCGTCGAAGCCGTTCGTTGCTTGGAGTCTTCCCCTCGCTCTCATGAAACAACAATTGACAGAAGAATCCGAAGACTTATAAATCGGTAATGGATTATCAAATTCAGATACATGCATACCGTTTATTTGTTTTGCATTTAGAATTTGTTGGTTCCATCACTCTTTAATTGCCTCAATAAATACATGGGCTCCACGTCTAGCCTTAGAGAAGCAAAGTGAAGGGACAAACAACACGGGATGAGATTGATTTTCTTTCATGTCACTTTCCCACAGGCATCTAGTGATTGAAAATGGAAACCACTAACTTTCACAAAGTACTTAGTTTTTGGTTTTTTTAAAAAACTTTGATCATTACGTATATAATAAATTATTAATCTTATTAACTAGGCTTCTTGTGAACTACGTTAGTGGCATTTGATTTCTTTTGGTCCAGCCAAAAGAGCTCGACCATTTTGCTTTAAATTTGCAGCTGATGGCTCAAGTTATAGCATAAAAAATTACAATATGTATGCCAATGTGAAGAGATGAAATGAAACCCATTTTCCATTGACTACTTTTTCATGTTGGACATGCTTGGAATACTAACTCTTTGGGTTATTTTTTGTTTTTTTACTTTATTTATTTGAATTTTGTTTTACATATAGGATAATTTTAATCAATCAAAAGGTAATTAATTCGAATTGAATATTTTAAATTTAAATTTAAATTTAAATTTTCGCAATTAAAGACAACCGATAAATTAATTGGTACCGAAAGGGCGGTTCAAGGGTGCTAATCCTTCCTTGACCGTAACCGACTCCTGGACCCGACGTATTTCTGGTAAAACGCAGATCAGGTAAGATGGTGTCCGACCTACCTAAATTCGTTTTAAAGTGGTCGGTGGCGACTCCCAATCTACATTTTCCAAGTCGAAGCCCAATTCCGGGGCCCAACCGAAAGACGGCTACGACAATATCACTTAAATAATTTTAGATTTTAAGACTTTATGTATGTAGAAAATTCCTACTAAGAGACTCACTCGCTAAAATTAAGTATGCATAACGAGTCGATTCAGATTAATCAAGGTAAAATCTTAAAAAATCAAAACGACGATAAAATAATAATAATAGTAATAATATGAAACCATGACACTATCTGATGTGATACTCTTAAAGTATCACGTCATTAAAATAATAAAAATTCTAAGTTAGGGGGGAAATATGGTAAAACAATAAGTTTAAGAACCAAATTAAAAGAAATTATCTAATTAGAGTACTAAAAGTTACTTCATCCCAAAATAAAAACGGGCAACAACAAGAAGTTCATAGTAAATAACATATCTTTAGTTGAAAAAAGTTTTTTTTTTTTTTTTTATTTTTGTAGAGTTAAAGAAATTGTTTGCAAAGGATTTTTAATATATATTTAATTTGATCCTTTAAATTTTTTATTTTACTTTATACCTAATCTTGAAATCATTTGAAACATGATAGTGCCAAAACTAAACCACTCTCTTGATATTTTAACCATCAATCTCATATTTTACTGTTAAGGATAGATTCAGGGTAGTTTTTTATTGTACGGTAGCTTAATTATAATTTAAGATATTTTAAATTTAAAATATTATATAAATTTATAATATTTTATGTTACAATCGAATAATTATTTTACGAGAGTCTAGGGATAATAACAAAAAATATTACGAAAATATAATATTTTCGATTATAATTAAAAATATTACTCTGTACAACTTAAAATATTATAATTATAAAAAATTGTTACAGCAATTTCTATCGTTTTTAACCTCATGTTCACAAATTGTATTTTAGAATAGATTCGACACAAATTTAAAGATTTTACATAAAATATTTACCATGTGCAAGTTGGGGGTAAAACTAGAAGGAAAAGACAAGTGGAGTCCACTAGGGTTAACAGACGGTTGGTGCTGGAATCCAGGAAAAGCAAGTAGAATCGTTGTTTTAGGCCGAACGTAACATCTATTTCAGTTTCTGGTTTGGTTTAGGGTTCCATCGGTTCTTAGGACATTGCAATTTGCCCCCACATCTACTTTTACCCATAAGACACACACCTCGGGTTCCCTCAACTCCATCGTCTAGACGAGTTATTTAAATTTAATTTAATTAAAATTGAATTTATATTCAAATTAAATGGATACAACTCGAGTTTTAACAAATTGAAACGAGTCATATAATAATAGATTTAAAAAAATCGTGAGTAATTCGAAGAAAATAATATATTAATTTTTTAAATTAATTTTTTAATTATATTAATATTTATATGTTTTTAATATATATATATATATCATATAAGACTTTCATGTACTTAAAGTTTAGGTTTGAATTTGAGTTTGAGCTTCAATCAACTTAAGTTTAAGAATATTTTGAGCTCAATTCGAGTTTCAATTTTTAATTTCGAGCCGAGGTTGGCAATTTTAAACTCATAAACTTTATAGTGGAATCAAGTTCAGCTTTAAACTTTTCAATTCAAATTCAATAGTATTTGAGCTTGAGATTACAACCCTACCTCTATCCATCCACCCAATAAAAATTATGTTATTATTTGAAAAAAAAAATATAATGATAAAATCGTTTATATAATGTGGTGGAAAAAATTATTTATATAAGATATATAAATTATTTCTTCAATTAAGATGATTCGTTATAATATTTGGTAGACCTCAACATGATAATACGACGATTTCTGGAAAACATCTAAATTACTCATGACTTCTGGCCGATGTTATTGTTCCGTGCCCCTACCTCCCTTGTGTGTCGTCTGCCTTATTTTGTGCTCAGACTGCATTGTTGCCAGCTAGTGCCCACACAAGCAGCATAGAATATATGTCGTGCAGTTTACACGTTTTTCAAAAGTCATTGGGTAGTCCAGACATTTTTTTAGATGTTATTCGAAAATGATCACGTCGATAATCTTAATATACGATTAAAAAAGTGTTATCAATTTTATTATTATTGAAATAATAAAATCGATAAAAAAATTACCGGAAATATTATTATTTTTATTTGTTTTATTATTATTATATGTTTTACCGGTTTTGTTAACAAAATCGATAAAACACTATCAGTTTTGTTATTTTTCTACTGGTTTTATTGAGCATTTTATCGGAAATATAAAAAACATTAATGTTTTAGGTAGAAATAATAATGTTTTAGTAATTTTTTACCGGTTTTATCATTTTACCGCCTTGTTCTATACGTCATGCGAAATTGCTTCCTCACTTTCATGATTTTCACATTGAATTGTCATGACAACATGCATCGTATTTCACTTCTTCCTGTCATGCATCCTCAGGTATATCTTAATTTCTTTCATAGACTAAACTTGCTTCTAAGAATACCAAATTTTTAGCGGCCATCACTAAAAATGATGAGCCAAAGTTTTATTCTCACGTCAGTAAAGATCGACTTTCATTGGTAAGAGGCAATGAAAAAGGAACTGGTGGCACTTGATCAAAATCAAACATTGAATCTGAAACCACTACCATAAGGGAAGAAGCCGATTGGATGTAAATGGTTTACAAAATCAAATATCATTCAAATGGAATCACTAAGCGATACAAAGCCTAGGTTAGTGGCTAAAGGTTACGTACAAATTGAAGGATTGGACTAGACTGAGACATTCGCTCTAGTTGTAAAGCTCACGATTGTCCGAACTTTACTGGTTATATCTCTTTCCAAAGCATGAGAACTGCACCAACTTGATTTCTATAATGTCATCTTACATGGCGACCTCAATGAGGAAGTATACATGATACCATCACTTGGTTATTTATCACCCAATGAAAATCGAGTACGTCATCTTCGTAAGTCTCTTTATGGTTTGAAACAAGGCTCTCCCTAATGGTTTGTGAAATTCTTTCATGTCATTCTTCAATTTGGGTTTACTCAATAATAAAGCAGATACTTTCCTCTTTACGTACCACAAAGGTAATTCATTCACTGTTTTACTTATTTATGTGGATGATATTATCATTTCTAGCAACAATAATAAGCATACTCAAGCACTAAATATTTATTTCGACACTTGGTTTCATATCAAAGATCTCGATCTAAAGTACTTTCTTGTTCTAGAGATGGCTGATTTCGCTGATGCCATTGTCTTATCACAAAGAAAATATGCGTTAGACATTTTTAAAGTAGGCTCATTTGGCACTAAATCTTCATCTATTCCTATGGAGAAAAATCATAAACTAGCATTAGAAGATGATGTTTTCTTAGACAATCCAAGTGCTTACCGCGGCCTTGTTGGAAGGCTCATCTACTTGACAATCAATCATCCCGAGATTTATTATTCAGTTCATATCCTCTCTTTTAGTTCATGCATCAACCTCGACATGACCATTGGTTAGCATCTCTTGAGGTTCTAAAATATCTTCAAGCTGCTTATGGGCAAGGGATTTTGCTACCCTCTAACAACGACTTTCAACTGCATGCTTAATGTGATTCAGATTGGGCTGGATGTCCACTTACTCGTCGTGCCCTCATCAATTATTTCATTCTCCTCAATTCCTCCCCCATTTCATAGAAAAAACAAAAAGTAGACTGTAGGTTCTCGCGTATCCGTTGAAGCTTAATATCGCTCTATGGAAACTACTACTAGTGAAATAATTTGGCTTTATGCTCTCTTTCATGATTTAACAATTTCAGTCTATTCTCCTGCTCATTTGTATTGTGATAATTGCACTACTCTTCACATCATTGACAATGCATCAAGAGCGCACAAAACACATTGGAGTAGATTGTCATTTTATTCGAGACTGCAACAAAACCTGCTCCATCACTAATTCACGTGTTTTCTCTAATCATCAGCTTGTTGACATCTTCATGAAGGCTCTCGGTTCTCCTTAGTTCTCCTTTTTTTGTTGGCAAGTTGGGCATTGATAACCTCCATGCTCCAACTTGAGGGGGCATA